CCTCTCAAGTGCTCGGATTACAGGTGTGGACTACCATGTCTGGCTTGTAAAATTAGTTTTGACGGGGGTGTTTCAGTGAGGGCAAGGACAGTCTTTTTGATGATTAGTGCTGGAAAATAGAATATCTACATGCATAGGTTAAAGTTGGATCTTTACATAATGCCATCAATAAAGACTATCCACATAGGACCAAGACGTACTTGTAAAATTCTTAAAAGAATATTTATGACAAAAGTTTCTTGACATTGTATCTGGCAGTGATTTCTGGGATATAACAGCAAAGGCAAAAGTAACAAAACAGACAAATTGGACTTCGTGCAAATTTTTGTTCAAAGCACACTATCAGTGGAAAAAATATGTGTGTCTCATGCATCTGATGTATGATTAATATTCAAATTATATAGAGAAGTTTTAAAATTCAGTAACAAAAAAGACAACTAACATGACTGTGGAAATCAGATTCCACTCCTTTTCCAAGGTTTGCTGTTTTGTTTTAATCATGGTAAGCTAATTGTGCAAATTCAGTAACAAAATGGACAAGCAAGTTGAATAGGTATTTTCTAAAGAAGATATGTACATGTCTAATAAGCACGTGAAAAAATGCTCATGTCACTAGGGAAATAGAAATCAAAATTATATTGGGATCCCATCTGACTCTCATTAGGGTGGATACTATTAATAAAACTGAAAATAATTAGTGTTGTTAAGGATGTGGGGGAAACTGGAACCCTTGTACACTACTAATGTAAAAGTAGACTCAAATAGTGGCTGTGGAAGATAATATGGAACTTTCTCTAAAAATTAAAAATAGAATGGTTCAGCAATTCTGCCTGCAGGTATGTATTCTAAAGAATTGAAACAAAGGTCTTAAATATTTGTACATCTAAATTCATAGCAGCATTATTCACAGGAACTAAAATGGAGGAGCAACCTGTAAGTGTCCATCAATAGATAAATGAATAAACAACAATGGATGGATGAATAGATATATAGATAGATAGATAGACAGATAGATATAACTCAGCCTGAAAAGGAAGAGAAGCTAAAATATGCTACAACGTGGATGACATTATTGGGACATTATTCTCATTGAAATAAAGCAATTACAAAAAGACAAATACTGTATGATTCTGATTATACAATATTTAGAATAATGAAAATGACAGAGACAGAAAGCAGCATGGTGATTGCCAGGGGATGAGGGGAAGGAGTGATGAGAATTACTAAAGGGTATGGCTTTTCAGTTTTACAAGATGAGAATGTTTTTTGGATAACAGTGATGATGCACAAAATAATATATGTGTTACCATGTAATTATACAATTAATAGTTAAGATGGTGAATACTAGGTTATGTGTGTTTTACCTCAAATATTTTAAGGACTAAGCATGTATAGTATTTATATGAGAGGGAAAGAGAGAATGAGAATGAATGGTTTCTTTATCTCCAATTTTACATTCTTTATGTTGTTGTGAAATCCTTGAATGTTTTGCAGTCAGCTTGTATTTTTAAAGACAGAAAATAAATTTTTTATTTTTTAAAAAACATACCACAGAAGAGTCGCTGACATTCTCAGTTAGTAGTAGAGACATGCTGTTGTGCCGCAGCTTTGTTCTCACTACTTAATGTGCTACTGTCTTGTTAAATCTGCATTGTGTTTGAGAAGAATATGATTCCATCGTTCTTTAGTTTTTCAAATATGTTTTTAAGACTTTTGATGAAAAAGAAAAAATTATTTCTGAGGGCTTGCATCCACTCCAGCATTAGATTTTTGCAGAAAAATAATTAGAGCAGACATCTTCTCTGGGAGAGTAAGTGATCAAGAAATGAATGTATAATGTGTAAAAATTCTTCCTCCATACTTGAGTTGCCAACAAGCTATTAATGCTATAAAGCAGTGATAGTGACCAGTGCCCGTACTGCAACCCAAAACCCAGTTATTTATCACAGAGTGCCAATACTGCAGTTAAATCTGAATGCTTGGCTGCTAGTTTCTTGCCTGGAGTTGCTTGGCTCAGGTGACAATAGAGAGGGCTCCATATGCCTGCTATGGCACCTATACAATAGCAGATTCACCACTGCCCCGTAATGGGAAAAGCTATGTGGGAAAAGCTCACCTTTGCTTTTATTTTGATAGGTTGTTTAGTTGGGGGAGTGTTAGTTTGTTTGTTGGAATATTAGGAATTGAACCCAGGGATGTCCTAACACTAAGATACATAGCCAACCATTTTTGTTTTTGTAATGGGAATTGAACTTAGGACCTTGCACAAAATTGTGAGGTAGGCATGTGTGCCACTGAGCTATGTTCCCAGCCCAACCCCAACCATTTTTATATTTTATTTTGAAATTTGGTCTTTCCAAGTGGCCCAGGCTGGCTGTGAACTCACAATTTTGTAGCTCTCAAATTCTTTTTTTTTTTTTTTGGTACCAGGGATCAAACTCATAGCCTTGCACTTGCCAGGCAGGCACTCTTGCTGCTGAGTTATATTCCTAGCCCCGCACAATTCTGTATTATCCTCCAGAGTAGCTGGGGTTGTAAGCATATGCCATCACTTTCAGCTTCTTAAGAGTTCACCTTTGAAAACAAAAGATAACCCAAAACATGTTTGTTGGAACTGGGTCTTTTGTTTACCTTTTTAGAAGTTGTTTCAACTATGGTCAAGCATTAGGGTAAGGGATGATAGAAAAGATTCAGGAATCTGACCTGTAGCAGTTATGAAGGAGAAGATTAATGGGCACTTGGGGAACACATTTTACCCTTTGACTTATTATGCCAAATATAATTAGCAGTAAAGATTTTAAGTGTATTGCAATCACTTGAAATATCATTAAACATACAAGTGATTGAGAGCATAATAAATGCATACATCCCACTTGTTTCTGTTTCTGAAGGTAAATTCACTCACAGTATTTTTGTAACAGTGAAAACCTGGGAATATGTAAAAGCACTTACAATAGACAACATAGTAATTTCCAGTCCCACTAGTACTTTAATTCTGAAGTAACCCTCTTTGTTCTAGCAACAGAAAAATGGAGGAAAGTAATAACATCATCATTCTATGTTTGTAAGGATACAGATACATGAGAACCTATCTGTTGTACTGGGAAGTATGTGAAATGTTTCAGTCACTGTGAAAAAGTTTGATCTTTCCTCAAAAGTTAAACAGAATTATTGTTAGGCATGGTGTCATACACACATGAAATCTCAGCACTCAGGAGGCAGAGGCAGGAGGATCACCGGGAGTTTCAGGCCAGTCTAGGCTACATAGTGAGTTCAAAGCCATCCTACACTACATAGCAAGACCTTGTCTAAAAGCAAACAAAAATAATTACCATGTGGCATAGTAGTTCTAATTCTAAACATATTAAAAGCAGGACCTCTAAGGGGCTGGGGATTTAGCTCAGTGGCATAAGCGCCTGCCTTGCAAGCAGGCAGTCGTGAGTTCGATCCCTGGTACCGATAAAAACAGAAAAGACAAAAAAAAAAAAAAAAAAGCAGGACCTCTAGAAAATATTGTAGAGAAGTGTTCGCAGCAGTGCTATTCACAGTAGCCAAAAAGTAGAAACAACATGAGTGTCCATCAGCAGGTGAACAGATAAACCAATTGTGATAAGTTGGTAGCAGAATACTATCTGAAGATTTTCTAAATATTTAGAAAATGACCCACTTCTAAATGGTGTATCAGTCTAAGAGGAGCTCAGAAGGAAAATTATAAAACATTTTTAGTTTAGTGAAATAAAATAACATATCAAAATTTGTGGAATGCTTTTGAAGCTGCTAATTTAGAAGAGGGAGAGAAACATAAGAACTCAATGTGTCACTAAAGTAGAAAAATGTGAGCAAATTAATTCCAAATTAAATATAAAGAAAGGGCTAGTTAAGAGCGGCAATCTCTGAAATAGAAAAACAAAACCAGTAGAGAAAAACAGGGGTATTTAAAAGTTGGTTCTCTGAAAAGATGAATAAAATTAAAGCATTTTGTATTAGTTATTTTTTTTGTCCCTGTGACCAGATACATAAGAAAAAGCAACTCAGAAGATGAAAGATTTGTTTTGCATCACGTTTGAATCACGTTTTCCGAGGCTTCAGTCCATGGTAGGCTCCTCCTTTTGCTGTGGACTGAGGTGAAAGGCAACGTCATGGGGGAAGGTACAGTGGAGTGAAGCTGCTCACCACATTGCAGCCAGGAGGCAGAGAGCAAGGGAAGAGCCACAAACAAGATGCAGGCCCAAGATCAGACCTTCATGACCCAGACCCAGCAGAAGGCCTTATCTGCTTAAATTTCCATCACCTTCCAATAATGCCATCAAATTATAGTATCATCAATGGTTTAATCCACTGAGGAAGTTAGAACCCTCATAATTCTGTCTTCCAATCAACAATTTAAAAGGAAAAAACCCCATATGATCATTTCAATAATTAGATACTTCATCAATTCATGATAATAAACCTCAGTAGCTAAAAAGAAAAGGAAGTTCCTCAATGGTAAGGGGCAAATAAAAATACCCTACAGGTAACATCATAGTGTTGAAAAACTGATGTTTCTTCAGATTAGGTACAATCCAAGAAGGTCACAGGCTGTTTAGTAGGCAAGAGAAAAGATAAACAGTGCTACCTTGGTGCTCATTGTTGCCTGCTTCCTGGAGGTGTGTCAGTTACTTAAAGCTGTGGGCACCAAGCAAATTAGTTTGGCTAGAAAGTATAATGAATTATGAGACAGTTGATACCAGGAATTCTAGCTTGTGTGCATGAGTACCAGGACAAAATTTTTTCATCAAAATGCATCAAGTACCAAATTTAATATGTTTCAATCAGTTGAGTCCCAGGGTACAACTGTAAAAAGAATGTAGATTGAGCATTTTCCATTTTTTCTTTCTTTCTCTTGCTTCTAGCTGCTTGACATTCTGTACAGTCTCTATCACGTAAGGAAATCAGGAATTTCTTCAATGACTGCTAAAACTGTAAGAATGAAAGAGGTTTCTTTTTTTTTTTTTTTAAAGGAAGTCTCCATCATACTGTGCACACGGAAAAGAGGCGTTGCATGTGACCGCCTTTGCCAACCATCAGTGAGTTTCTAATACACATTCCTATGTCTTTTTGAAAAATTATCTATTGAAATTTGTTCTCTCACTTTTCTTAAAGCAAGTACTATTATTCTCCTGAGTCTTCTATCACATAGCAAGCACGTTGGTGGAAACTGCTTTTCCATAAAAAGAACTGTGCCACCTACTCTTCAAATGCCACTGATTAGGAAAATCATTGATTGATTTTTCCTGGGGAATAAATTAGGCTTTCTCTTGAGAGTGAAAAGAAAGAAATGAGATGTAAAGAATGAAGATGGCTGAATGTTATGAGAAAAAAGTTTATGCAGTTTCCATGGAAACAACACCGTAGGCATTCAGAACAGGAACTTATATCTCTGCATTCGTCAAATATAAATCAGATACAGGTTGCATTTATTCTCTTTCTTGGCCCAAATTTAGTCTGGCATGTGGTTATATAAAATATGCTCCTACTTTAGTATATTTGCTTAATGTTTGCAGGAATCTGACAATACATGGGTTGCCATGTTTTTAAAATCTTACACGCAAGGCACAGAAATAAAATTAGGGAAACAATTTTAGCAAAAAAAAAAATTGTAAGCAACAAATGGCAGCACAGTCAGTGCCCACTGCTAGGCTTCTGAAACTGACTTTCATAATGAACAGAGCTAATTAATTTTCTTTACTGAAATGTACTCACATTTTGGATTTAATTGGCACTAGCTAATTCTTTGTGGGTGGTATCAAATACAGAAAATTTATAGCTTGACAGTTTATTCTTATTTAACATGTGGTTTCATTTCTGGAGCCGAGTAAGACACAAGTGTTTCTGAATGATTTTTAGACTTTTCTGGCAGAAAACATCAGTTGCCTTTAATTTCATGCTTCATAAGTGAGGCATGATGGACATCTAGACAAAGCATACATGAGCTTTGAGGATTTGGAGAATTTGACAAAAAAACCTCCAAGCTTCAATTTTTTTTTTGGTAACTAATTCCAACGACAATGCCAAGAATGCAAACTCTATCTGCAGCCACCATTGTTTCTTGGGCTCATGAGCAGTAGGAAACTCTGAAAACAATTAGAATAGGTTCTTTGCATGGAAAACAGTGTATTATCCATCCGACTCTACTACCTTCATGCCAACTTTGTTAGCTGTTTTCTGTGTTATCCATTTATCACCCTGTGTATTTTCTCTTCTATTAGATTTCCTCAAAGATGTGCACTTAGTAAACAGACAGCCTAGAGGCATGATGTCTTTTTAAAGCAATAATTGGTAATAGTCCAATAAATTTAATAGTAATTTAATGAGACCAAATAGTTGTACATATTAAACAGTGGGAAAGACATAAGCAGCAAACGTAAGCTTTAAGTCAAAACAGCATTTTGACAGTATGATATAAAATTTTAAAAATATATATGCCCTGGAAACCAAAACTTGTGCTTTGAAGAATTTGTCTTAAGGAAATAAAGTTATATAAAATGATTAAATTAGAAGAATATTTTCTTTTTTTTTTGTCTTTTTCCTTTTTATCGGTACCGGGGATCGAACTCACGACTGCCTGCTTCCAAGGCAGGCGTTTATGCTGCTGAGCTAAATCCCCAGCCCCAGAAGAATATTTTCTAAACCCTATTTAAAATATGGAAATATTGGAAATAACGCAAGCATCAAAGGGATGGATAAGTTTAGGATAAATCCAGTGAGGATATATAACCATATCAAATGATGTTACAAAATAATTTTTATTGATATGGAAGAATATTCCTGATACATTGTTAAGTGAGAAAAGCAGGAGTTTGACAGAATTGTATTAAATCTATAGATCATTTTGAGGAAAAATGTTGGGTCTTCTAATTGATAAGTATAATACTTACTAGGCACATTTATTTAGCTCTTTGATTTTATACTTTTCAACCTAGAACTCTGATACCTGTTTTCTTACATCTATGTGTCCAAGGATTTATTTTTTACCTTTTTGCTTGTTTGCTTTTAGAGTTGATCCAAAATGTATTTTTGTACTTTTTGTTTCTGGCAATATATTTTCATGTTTAGAAATGCAATTTTTATATGTTGATCTTGAATCCTACAGTCTTCTAATATTCATATATTGGACAGTTTTGTTTTGTTTTTTCTAATCTGTGTACCTCATTTATTTTTCTTGCCTTTTGTACTATCTAGAACTATAAGAATATATAGACTGTGAATGATGAGAATATATGTATCCTTGTCTTGCTACCTTTTGTGGAGGAAGCAAAAGAGTGGAGGAACTTTTTCCCTATTAAATAGAAAGTTAGCTATAGGTTGTTTCATAGATGCCTTTGCCTCATGTAATGGAAATTCCCTTTGGTTCTAGTTCCGTGAACATTTTCATTATGATGGATGTTACATTTTGTCAACTAAATTTTCTGTATCAATTGGTATAATTGCATGGATTTTTTTCTTTGAGCTAGCTGTTAATATAAACAGTTACATAAATTTTTTAGTATTGAATTTGTATTTCTAGAATGGGCTATACTTAGTTATCATGTGTTATCCTTTTCATGTATTAATGGAACATCTCATAGGTGATTTTTGTGTTTCTTATGTTTGAGATTGAAGACTGTTGGCCCAGCCCCCCCACCCCCCAAAAAAAGAAAACAACTGGGGACCAAACTCAGCATTGGCCTAATTTGATTAGTTTTTAAAAAATATTGTTTGGGCATCAGGATAAAGCAGAACTCCTAAAATGCATCTGTAGATCAGAATCTCATGGCCAAAGCTGCAGCTGCATACTGTGCAGAGGACTCCAGGTGAGGAGGCAGTGACCTGAGCTGTGCTGCCTTTGGTCTGTGTCATGAGCTGGGATGCTCTTCTGTGCACACTGGCCTGATCGTGAGAGTGTTAGGGTGTGTTATCATGAATTTGGGTCCATTTTCCTAGTTGCCTTGCACTTATTCTTTGTCATACCTCAGAAAATTGAAATGAAAACCTAACAGTTGTATCAACTTATCCTAATGATGTAATTACAGTGTTAAAGCATTTTCCATGTTATGGAAGAAAACTGCAAGTAGGGTATCTACAGCCAATAGCTGCTGTCCAGGTCATCTTTGGAACCAACTTTATCATGAAGAAGTAACACTTGAGTCTAAAATTGATGGATCATCCAATCTAAAGACAAGAATGATCATGACAAGTTTTGAAAATGAATTGCATTCAGAATCACAGTACATGCATAGAATAAGTAGGATAGCTCCACAAAATAAATGCATTGTGTTTCTTTATTTTGTATCTGTTAAACCTGCCATTCTAGAATTATGAGATACCTAGGAGGAAGGTGTTATAATATGTGACACTAATAAGACAACATAATGTGTTTCCAGATCACAGTGTTTCTCTTGACCCAGTGTATAGTCCATAGCCTTCTCCATTATCAGCATCCTCTATTTGTGCCAACAAATTGGCACATTTGTTATAGTTAATAAACTTCGATGCATCATAATCCATTGCAGTCCATAGTTTAGGATTTAGCTTTGTTTTTTACTTTGCATAGATTTGGACATGTATAATGACCTATATTCACCACCATAGTATCATGTAGGATGTTTTCTTTGCCCTCTGTTCTCAACTCTTTCATCTTCTCTGATATCTGGCAATCACAGATCTCTTTTTACCATCTCCATAGTTTTACTATCTCCAGAATGCCTTATAATTTGAATCATATAATATGTGGCCTTTTCAGATTGACTTCCTTTACTTATATGAATTTAAATTCTTCTTATATCTTTATATGACTAGACAGCTCATTTCTTTTTAGTGTTAAATAATATTTTCTGGGGGCTGGGGATTTAGCTCAGTGGCGTAAGTGCCTGCCTGGCAAGCATGAGGTCGTGAGTTCCATACCTGGTACCAAAATAATAGTAATAATAATAATAATAATAATAATAATAATAATGTCTGGATGCACTGTAGTTTATCCATTCACTTACTGAGGGGTATCATGATTATTTTCATGTTCTGGCATTTGTTGATAAAGCTTCTAAAAGACCTATGTTCAAGTTTTCATGTGGGCATTTGTTTTTACATCCTTCAGGTAAATACCAAGAAGCATAGTTGCTGAATCATATGACAAGAGTTTGCTTACTTTGTAAAGAAACTGCTATACTTCTTCCGACATGGCTACACCATTTTGTATTTGCAGAACTGAGAATGGAGCTTAATGATAGAGCACTTTCATAGCATGCAAAATTCCCTGTGTTTCAGCCCCAGCATCACAAAATAAAAAAAGAACAAATAAAAATAACAATCATACTTAAATGTGTAAACTACACAGTCAGCTATTTTGCATTCTTACCAACAGTGAGTACCAGCTTTTGCTGCTTCATATCCTTACTAGTATTGGTAGCCTCTGTGTTAATGGCTTTGGCCATTCTAGTAAGTGTGCAGTGGAATCTTGCCGTTTCACTTGCATTTCTATGGTGACATATCATGTAGAACATCATTTTAGGAATGCTCCTTTGTCATCTGTAGGTTGCCTTTGCTGAGGTACATGTCAAGTTTCTTGATCCAAAAGCTTATACACCACATGGTTAGGTACTCACAACCATGACTCCTACATCCCTGATATCAGAATCTGCCTTAATTACTTAATTACTTAATTTAACCCTGAGGCACAATATCCAACTTCCACAGTTATAAGGATGAGAAGTTAATTTTGTCTCCTGTTTCAGCCCATATTGGCTGGCTGCAAGTCAGAATGGCCTGGGACAGGCTATGCCAGAGGAGAGCTACTCACCTCAGGGCGGACATGAAACCGGATGTGAAAGGAGGAATCTAGAAAGGAGATATAACCTTCCAGGTCACACCCACAGTGACCCACCTCTTCCAACAACCTAACAGCAAGTCATCTATAACACTCTATGACCCAGTCAACTTCCAAAGGGCCTGCTTATGATACATCAGACTTTGAGGGATATGTAGATAAAAACCATTACAGGAGAAAAGGTTTTATTTTTTCCCCCATTTAGTATGTTGGTAATAGGTTCAT